TTTCCTCTTAAAAAAAAAAAAAAAAATGTACGTTTGGTATATAAAATTATATTTGGTATAATAAAAATATAAAAATAAAAAACAAAAATAAAAATATAAAAACAAAAAATATAAAGATTAATATAATAAATATAATAAAAATGTATATAGAATCAATTATTCAACTCACAAATATCTTAATACTTAATTTTTTGACAAATTTAGACAAATTTATTTTTATTCTTAAATTTTGATGAAATTATTTTCAATTTAAACATTGACTGATAACCGAAAAGCATCTTGACGCGACAGATAGAGCAAGAAGACAAAGGATTCAGCGGCGAAGGAACATTTGACGTATGCGGAAGGGGGTTAAACGTCGTCGGCTCGAAATTCCCTCGAACGACTTCCGGCAAATTGCTGGGCGAACTGGGAAGTCGGTTATATCGACAGACAGAACGAGAGGAAGAGAGCGTGGGCACGAATGCGCGCTAAATCGAGGGGTTTAGGAGCCGTAGACGGCCGGATGCGCGGTCGCTCCCTCGATGAATATTAAACTCGCTCTCTCATCGTCCGAAAAGACGTACCGGCGAATTTTCCAAAAAACCGCGCGATCCAACTGAATCCTAATAAGCCATCACGACGATTCTCTTCGCGCGCGATTACATCGTTCGAAAAAATTTTATCTTCTTATTTTCTTTACAGAAGAAATAAAAGTGAGTGATTTTTTATATTTCTTATTCATCATTATATATTATTTATTTAATTATACGTATTAATTTTTTTGTAATAATAATGCAAAATTTAAATTTTAAAAACATTATTATTTATATATTTTATATCATAAAATTTATGATTGGTTTTTTAAAAGACACATAACAATAGCAAAAGCTGAATAAATCGATTAAGAAATGCATCAAACATTTTATATTGCGATATTAATTAAATTATTGCTTCGACAAATATAAAATAAAGCAATAAAGGTGTTTCTTTTGATTCTTTCATCAAAATTGCAAAAATTTGATAACGACGGAATATGATTCATGTCTCCGGCCGGGAAACACTGGTGCGGCATTAAAAATCGAGGTGGATCGCGCACAACACTTTTATTCGGTTTTCCGCCGAGACCAAAAGCTCGCGCCGGAAAAGCGACTGACTGCCCGGAACCGATCAGATCCGACAGCGGCGGACTTTAATTGAAATTCCGAATCGATAACGGTTGCGGACGCTCGATACACCCCAGCTCTGTTATCTCGCGTCGGGGATGATATCCGCATCGACGACTTCCGAGAAGAAGTTATCAATCCGTTCGAATAAGCGAAGAAATTTTTCCCTCGAAATGCAAATAAGATAGCTGTGTATTTTTGAGAATCCATTTTGAAAATATTTTATCTTTAAATATCTCTCTCTTATCTTCCTAAGTGTTCTGATTATCTCTTATCATATCTTGACGGATATTATGCCCGCTATAGTTTTAGAGAGCGCGTGATTTGTGTATTTTTATATTTATATTATAATTTTTATATTTATTTTTATTCGCGCATATTTTATATTCACCAAATATAGAAAACAGATATAAATATATATAAATTGCATAAAATATTATCCAGAATTATGAAGAAATTTTGCACGCTGAAAAAAATTCAGAACGAGAAGGTCACCGGGGGATCTTTCGTCCTATTCTGCGGGAGATCTCGGCACATGACAGTATCATGACGAGACTCTTTGACGTGGATATCGAAAGCGAATACCGTTTTGTCAGCGTCAGCGATTGACGTTTCGCAACGTTTTTCGCGACAACTCGTTCCCTGTTCGAGCATTTGTCCCCTCTCGTGTCCTCGCTTTTATTTTGAATAGAAGCTTCAAAGGCCAGTCTCTTTCATGAATTCAGTCGAGTTTTTTATTTTTTTTCGCAGCGACAGCACAAGTGGATCGATTTGAACGAGCACGGCTTTTCGATTGATGCATTTTCTTTTTTTCTTTTTTATCGCGAATGTTTGGAAAAATTTAATTGCTTCCTCGCCCTCATTTTACTAAATTCTTCAAGCAAATAACATTTCTCGATATATATTATAGGTAATACAAAAAGTTTAGAGAAATAAATTTGACATAAAGATATTTAAATTTTATAAATTAAATTAATAATGTCGTTGTTATATCGAGTAAATTATCTTGATATCATCTCATATTTGTTTAATTAATAAAGTTGCAATCACATGTATAGACGTATAAATTATTAACGGTTTATAAAATATAATTTTATAAATATATTTATAATTTATAAAAAAATATATCTTTTATGTATTATATATAATATTCCATTAAAAAGTTCTCTAAATGACGTTCCAATCTCAATCTCAACATCGTTCGTCGTTATCTTGTTATCATTACATGCGGCATCTTGTTATTAAACGTCGAATGGAGACACGATGGGATGCCTTTTAAGCTTTTAATATAAAGTTGATGCATGAATCCCATCAGCTTTATTCCAGAATATCCTACTTACCGAGTACGGCGAGAGTGATGTCGCCTTCCAAAGTAGTTGTGTCGTTACGTGCCTGACAGGAGTATCGTCCCGCATCCGAGGCTCTCATCTCCTGCGTGTAGATCGTTTGATTCGCGCTCTCGGGATACAGAATAAAGTGACTCTCTCCGCCCGGCCAAGGATACGCCCTGTTATCCTTGTACCTGTAACAAAAAAAAAAGTAATTTAAATATATTAAAAATATATATTAATGATAGATATATTAATAAATGTATTAATAACATAAATATACGAATAAGTGGGCTGATTTTCAAAAAAAAATATTAACTTGATATATGCAAATAAAAATTTCAAAAAAAGAAAAACGATGTTTCTCATTGGAATTTATTTATCTTTAAAATAAATTATTTTTAATATTAAAAATATATATTAATGATAGATATATTAATAAATGTATTAATAACGTAAATATACGAATAAGTGGGCTGATTTTCAAAAAAAATTATTAACTTGATATATGCAAATAAAAATTTAAAAAAAGAAAAACGATGTTTCTCATTGGAATTTATTTATCTTTGAAATAAATTATTTTTAAACATGAGATTTAAATTTCTTTTTCGTCTTATTTTTTCGTTATTAAAAATATAATATTTTTTCTCGCAAGAATTATATATTTTTTTTTGTTATGAGAAATTATCTCTTTATGTTTCTGTAAATTTTCTTGAAGATTTTTTTTCGGGAAACGAGGGTGAAAAGAGTGCTCTTACGGAGATTTTGAGAACGATAAAAAAAAATGGGGAAAGAAGCGGGATATTTTTCATAGAAACGATAAATTATCGCGACCGATCGTCGTGAAACACGTCGCACTTAAGAACAAGCCCGATATTTCCGGGACGAGAATATCGATGGTTGTTCTTGAGAGCATTCGTTCCGCCGTAAAGATAAAAGTCGAGGGAACGAGCGCTCCTCGACAAACACTCGAAGTAAGGGAAGAATCAAGAGCATTGAACCGTTCGCGAAAATAAATCGTCCGTACTATACTGCCACCACAATCACTCGGTTAATTTATCGTTGTTGCTGCAACTGTATGTGTGTATGTCTCTATTATGTGATACTGTATAGTTATGCATTAATAGCACCTTAATATAAAATATTTATTACAAGAGAGCCAGGATAGTTTAATGATGAAATAATTATAGCATAGCTTTAATGATATGTAATAATAATGTATTCACATATAAATAATAAGTACATAATAAAATATTAATAATGTAATCGTTAAGATAATTACATTATTATATTTCTATTGTTATGCCATATTTTTTCTCATAATAAATATTTTATTTTACGATTATTTAATTTTTCCTTTGCAATAAACGCGCAAGATTTTTTCTCGTAATAAACATAACTTTTCTCCGTTTTTATTCTTAACTTTTTGCGAGGGTTGTATTTTTAATTCCTGCTTCGTGTTGAACGATCCTCTTACGAAAGCAAGGCTTCTTTTGTACTTCGTAGCAAGGATCGAGGGAATCGACGGGCGCTTTCGCGAAAGGGAAAGAAAACCTCTCCACGTAATTCAGTTTCTAGTGCACTACGCAAATTCACTTTCGTTTTACTGGCGGATCAAAGAGACATCCGCGCGATCCTGCAAACTTAGGCTGCTCACAATCTTCGAATCCTTTATATATACCTGCTTTTCCCGAATGTAACAGTGCGAAAAAAATCTTTAAAACTATTTAAATATCTTTAAAACTCTCTAGTCTGTAATCATCAAACTAATCTGACATTAAATTTTAGATAATAAATCCTAGATACTGAATTCGTGAACTTTAAGATTCTCGAATCTCAGATTTAAATTGCGTTCATTAATAATAAACATTTAATATCCGGATATTAATTTACTTAAATACTTATGTATTTTTTACTAATTTTTTTTAAATCTCATATTTTAGCTACGTTAATTGATTTAATCAATAATTTTATTTTGTTTCAATGGCGACAAATTTTCGGCCTTCACACATCTTCACATAAGAAAATTATTAGTCCATTATATCCATAAAATTTTTAGACGACAATTCTCGTGATGATTTCCATCGTTGCAAAGTTAATAAAAAATTTTAATAAAAAATAAAAGATTTTTAATAAGCCGAACGATTCGTCTTTCTGAAGCAACTACAGAAGAGACGATCGGCAATCTCACCGCTGCCGTTAAGAATTCCTTTATTAAAGCTCTTCCTGCATCGGCAGGACTTCTTTTACGAGCTTCTGTTACGAACGCACTTTAAATAAGAATTTTTAATAAAGAGAGCCATCCTCCCCGCCCCCCTTCCTATCCGCTCATCCGCGACCGCTCGTCTCTTTTTGCCAGGATAATTCCGAACTGATTCGGATCTTAACGAAGATTCCGCTTCGTAGCAAACTTCCGAAGACTAATAAAGACACCGAAACATTCTGCATCTGAGGACGACGAAAGTTCCAGGACTTGCGGGACGCGAGGATCGAAAGACGTCAATATATGAAAGCAGGATGAGGTAAGATCCTTGAATCTTCAAGATGAATCAAAGCACGAAAATTTTGTAATACAGAAGTCTTAAAATTAAAAAAAGAAATAAGAGAGATAATAATAAAAAATAAGAAATAAATAAAAAAGAAACTTGCGAAGATATCATAATGGAAAAAGATCGCCCTGGAAATTCTTAAATTTCTGAATTCTAATTTATTTAGAAATCTAATAAACTGTAGATTATTATATCCTCTCTTAAAATCACACTATTGGATCTCTGGATCACGGAATTTTGGAATTTTGGCCTTTTTAAATATTTTAAATCTTGAACTTTAAATTTTCGATCTGTAAAGTGAAAATTTTAATTTCTTAAATTCTATAAATTTTTAATTTCGAACTTTAAAATAATTTTTCTAGAGTTGTGTTTATCTAAGGATAACCAAATAAAAATTTCTATTAGAAAAAGAAATGGAAGATAAAACCAAAAGTATTTGGTCGAGATTTTCCGAAAATATGAGAATTGCTGAATCGCTCGATTATCATCGGCAGTGTGCGATTTGTAAAAATAACCGTTTAATTATTATTGTGCTCGTATACTGTGCTGTTATCGGATCGCGAATTATACTCGGTTTAAATTAAACCCCGCAGTTCCAATATGGGGCGCATTCTGAAAATGTTCAGGGATCACTGGCTGTCCTTAATAGCCTGAAACACGGTCGGTTCGCGTAATTAACGTCAATTTTATTTCGATGAATATTTGTCTGCCGTATTTGTAAAATTATTGCTGATTTCCCTTCTACATTTTAAAACCAGTTGACGAATTAATTAACAATTCATTATCGATAATAAATGAACAAAGAATTCATTAAAAATATAATAATTGATAAAAACAATAACAGAACCCAATCAAATAAATAAATCGCGATAGAAATGGAAATTAATACTAATGGCAATCAAATAGCGATCGGAATAGAAGTAAATTAAACAGTAATTAGATTAAAATTGTTATACATTCAAATTTCAATAAATGAGAATTTTCGTGTCACTAACTTCTTTTCTCAATCAAAAGAAATATAATTATATAAAAAATAAAAATAAAAAATCTACTAAATAAATCAAAATATTTATTCTTGATTTATTTAAAGTTTTAATAGTATTTACATATCTACGTAATATTACAATATATATCTCGTGTTTTTTTATGCTTCTAAAATATTATGTTAATATAACATAAAATTTTTATACATTTAATTTCTGATCGTATTTTATCGTTTGCAAAATATGCTTGTAATGTAAATATATATACAGGGTATTAGAAAAGTCTGGAAACGGTCAAATATCTCGTAAACAATGAATCAAAATATTTATTCTTGATTTATTTAAAGTTTTAATAGTATTTACATATCTACGTAATATTAGAATATATATCTCGTGTTTTTTTATGCTTCTAAAATATTATGTTAATATAACATAAAATTTGTATACATTTAATTTCTGATCGTATTTTATCTTTTGCAAAATATGCTTGTAATGTAAATATATATACAGGGTGTTAGAAAAGTCTGGAAACGGTCAAATATCTCGTAAACAATGCATTTTAGAAAAAAATGTTTCAGACAAAAGTTGTATGGTTTCGAGGGGGACATAAGGTGTTGTTATTAATTTGACCTTGAATAGTTACTTGAAGGTCACGTGAAGGTCATCTTCAATTTTTTTAATGGAACTGCCTACTTTTTATTGCATATTCTTGTAACTTATCTCGAGAGCTTTTCAAAACACTATAATAAAGTATTTTTTCATTAAGTACTTTTTGAGTTATTTTATATTTTAATCTGACATATTTTGATATAAAAATTAAAATATTTCGTAAAATATTTAGTTTTCGATAATCTTACCGTAATACTTCACGTGACCTTCAAGCAATATGTATATATCTTACGTCAGTATATTTTAACATAAACAAATTTCGCATTACAAATTCGTGATGACGCGCGTTCGTTTGCTGAATAATTGCTCGTTATCCTCGTCGCATGAAAATCGCAAACGGCTTCTATTCGTTTGATCGTAACTCTCGAAACGGTACCCAATTTTTTCGCCGGCTGATTCATTGTTACAATATAATTGCCTGTTATCCTTTGTCCCCTCTCTCAGACAAAAAAAAATAGTCAACCAAAGTCTGCCATAGCGCATTTAATTATTTATTTACACCGAGCCGAGCAAAGTCCATTTTTTTGTATCAAGATAAAGTGGACTTTAGGATAGTTTAGATTCACGATTTGCAGTTACGTATCGAGTTAATTCGCCGTAAATTCGCCGATAAATCGCCATAAATAAAAGGTCAACCGGTTACATCGAGCGTGTCTCAGTCACGTACGCGAAAACATAGTTTTAACAAAGATTTCGCTTGATAATAATTTTCGCCAACTCTCTGGAGTCTCGATAGACGCTCGATTTGCGCGAAACCGTTTTAACGAGGCGTGGAAATTTTACGCGCCGAAAATACACCCGGCGTATAATTCATAGACCTCCTCTCGCCGTCGAGGTAAATCGTATAAACGCGGCTCGTTAATTCGACCCGATGTGTTTTAGCCGAGCGAGCTAACGCAAAATCGCAAATGACGAATTACATAAATTAACCATCGAGCAGAATGAACGATTCAAACAGCATCTTGAAACGACGCCGATTGGCGATTCGCAAAA